GTGCACACACATTCCTCTCCTCCTGCTGCCATCAGAACATGTGTTTCACACTCAAAATGTTGGGAACAAAAACAGGCTGTCGTGTTGAAGAGCGGAGTCCTGAAAAGATCAGCAGATTTGTGTTCAGCAAATGTTTTTTCTCCTAAACGCAGGGCCTCCTCTTGAACTACAGTTTCAATTAAACAGTGGTTAGAGCATGTTTTATAGTATCGACAAGGCAATGATTCAGCTGCTGCATCAACAGTCTCAAGCTCTGTGAGACAAGCACTTTACACCTCACTGTACATCAGACCAGCCGCATTTCCTACTGCATTATTAGGCCCCGTCCACACGTAGCTGGGTATCTGCTAAACCGCAGATATTTGTCTTTGTTTACAGCTGTCATCCACATGACAACACATCATAAACAAATATAAAAAAAACTCCGGGCAAAGGTGAAGATTTTTGAAAACTCTGTTTATGCATTTGCGTGTACAGTAGACAGAGATAATCACAATATGTGCCAAAACAACAATACAATACAATACAATACAATTTATTCTTGTATAGCCCTAGGTCACAACAGAAGTCATCTCAGAGGACTTAACAAAACCATTGAAATCACCAACACAGGTCAGAGAATCAACAGTTAAAACACATGAAGAATATAAAGCACACACAGAAGAAAATGTCCATACATGTTGTAGAATGCTAAAGTGTCCTGATCATCACCAATCCTTTCTGTTGGACACTAACTGTCCAACAAGACCCTCCTGCATCGACAAGGAAAAACCCAGTGGGAAAAAGTGAGAAACCTTGGGGAGAACTAGGGAAACCCACAGGGAGGGAGACCCATTTGAGAAAGGGATCCGCTCCTCCGGACGGACAGGCTAATGATCTAGGACCTAAGCTAGCTACAGAACGTGGACCAGTGGCCGCTGAACGTGGACAGGTCCGGTGCAGGACCAAAGCACTCCCAGGCGGGTCGGGCGGGGCAGTCCGCAGGTGTAGATGGAGGAGGCCAGGCTCAGGGATCCCGTCATCGTACCATGAAACAGACAATGGGACAACGGGTGAATAGCAATGAACAAACTACAGTCAAAATCCTAAAAATGCTAAACAGATAAAGTAGGAAGGAGGAGAGGATAGTGCTCAAGTTACCATACTTCTCCCAGCAAACTGACTCCCTATGCAGCTTGACTGACACTCTGAGGAGTTTAGCCTTCCCAGAGTCTTACCTTCCTAGCCATATGCTAAACTAAAGAGGACTGTTTTAAACCTAGCCTTGAATAAAGAAAGCGTATCTCTACAACAAACAAAACGTGCGACCTCTGCTCACTGAAGAAGCATGGATCTTACTGCCTTAAAAACTGTTCATCCTCACTCCACATCAGAGAGCAGCAAAGTGGTCACAGGGACTCGTGCTCCAAAACAACCAAAACAGGAGCTAAACCAGGATCAACCCAGGGCTGAGGACGGGGGACACAGTGCTTGTAAACATATGCGTTTACCCTGAGTTTCATCTGTGACTGTAAAAGTGCCGCTACAGAAGTACCAGCGTCAGCATCAAAGCTCCGCCCACTTCTGTGTTTTTCCCAGTGGGGGAGGGTCCCAGCTCAAAAGTGGCCCAAATGACGTGCGCTGACATGCTTGCAATACCACCCCGGGCCGATGGGGGTGGACCCAGAAGAAGAATTAGCCAATGCTAACATATAGCATTGGCAGACCTCTCGAAAACGTCTTCACAGGATGGTCCAAAAGTTGGCTCTTGGCCCAAAGCTCCGTTCCACATGTGTGTCAATGCTGAGGGGGGTGATTTTTTTTGGTCCACTCTAGTTTACTCGCTGTGAATTTTTGAAGTCTCTCGTTCAAATGAATGGAGCTGCGCCGGCTGACGCATGCGCAGATGCGTTTTTTCACAATTTTCTTGTGGGCGGGACCACTCGCGGCCATCTTGGATTGCTCCATGAAAGCACTTTTCATGGCCAACTCCTATGAACGGCGGAGATAGGCGTGACTCTGTCCGTTAATATATACAGTCTATGGTTTTTCCCCAATGCAGGACGTCAGAGGACGCACATGTTTGGAATGTTATGAATGTGATGGAAAACGCAGATGTGTAGTTATGTGTGGATGCAAATTATTTTATAAACGGAAGCGGGGGAAATATTCGGTTTTAAAAATACCCGGCTACGTGTGGACATGGCATTAGTCACTCAGACATTTGTAATTGTACCACTATGGTATCATGCTCAGAGCAGTTGTCTGCCTTATAAAACATAAGTATTGTCCATAAATTAGTTTTGGTAATTTCTCGAAGTGAAATTGTATTCTTTAGAATCCCATAGCTGTGTTTCCTGCCGGTTTTCAAACATTTTGATAATAAAACAAAACAAATTCAACTCATCCCTCTGGTGACAGCATAGGGAATTACAAGCGGGAAAGCATGTTTTAACCTTCCTACGTGTTTCAACATATATTTTATACTTAAATTGTTTCACATTCTTCAACATGCAATGATAACTTTAATATAATAATGTATAATTTCTTCTTTATAGTTTCTTCTTTAAATACTGGATGTGCAGTATGAAAACACCCACTCAAACTCTATTGCGTCTATAAACCTGACAATATGGCAGATAAGATTGTCTCTTTTGTTTTTAGGCCCTCAAAATTCTCTCCATGATGTCTTTCTCGACTGCATTTGCAAATTGCCTTATCAGTCAGTCAACCAAACATCATTTATTCTCCCGCACACACATTTGTTAATGCTGCACATGCAATGATTTTCAATACAAGCAAACCTGTTTTCCTCGCTAAATTAAAACTGCAAGGGTTTCTCTAAGCTGACACTTTAACAAGCTGTTTACACTGTCCAATTAAATGTGAATGTATGCCAAAGGAAACGCACACATTATTGCACACCAACTGCAGCGCTGGCATTATAATCAAATCAGCCTCAGCCAATCCAAGTGAAATGCTGCCTGTTATTTACTTTTCATATCAAACCCTGGGTGTAAAAGTACCCCCATTGATGTCAAAATGGATGCCTTCCAATCACCTGGGATAAGGTGTAATTTAGATTTTCCTTGGTTGTGTTAAGAGCTTAAAAGCCTGCCGCAAAAAGACATGACAGAACAATAATTGGAGACGTTTTGATTCATAATCCCAAAGCTCAGTCGGTACAAATCTTAAAGTAAAATGTGTGCTTCTCGCATTTGCGTCTTGGCATTGGGTGAGTACGGTGAGTGCAAGAGGGGAGAAAGCGTCCACGTTCATTATTGTGACTAGGAGTTGTGAAAGAACTATTGAAATCTATTGCTTGCTTAAAGAAGACATATTGTGCAAATTGACTAACCATGTAACAACGTTGTTCCTTCATTAAAAACAGACCATCAGCGTGAGTATCAACAGCAAAATACTTTCTCCACCTCTCGCGGTGTAAATTACTACCATCCCTGCGAGAATCAATACATGTTCCTTAACTGCATCGCCAATTTGAATGGCATATTTTGTCTGTTTTGCCCGTGGTTACACAATGAGCCCGAGCGACCTCTAACTCACCAGTTTTGTATGATGATTCGGTACATGAAGTATGCGCAGGCCTTGTGGAGGGAGAGCTGCAGGCAGTGAGCAGTAGAGAATGTAAATGTGGTTCTGACCAAGGGCACATCTTGTCAGGAAGAGGAGGAAGCGGACATCTGCTCCTCTTGCAGATGCCAGGCCTTCACTATCGCTGTACTAAGCAATATGTGTATCTCTGTGGCAAAATGGACAGGCTTCTGCTACAGCTGGTCTAGTCTGAGGAGATCAACATTTTTACACATACAGCTTCCTAAAGTACACTTCTAAACGAACTCTTGCCCATGCCCAAAGGGTGTAACAAACAAGTTGGCAAGTCGGTTAGAATAATAATGTTGGGGGTAGTAGTAGTAGAAATGGTTGTAGATCCAGTTTCCCTAACCCTACCACTAAAAACAGACCGTTTAATGTGGTTGGTGGTAGTATTGCTAGTAGTAGTAGTAACAATAGCAACAGCTGCTTAATTAAGTTTATTCGCCTTATTGAATTTGTCAGATTTTTATAATTTGACGGCTTTGCGATCAAAGTTTTGCTATAATAGAATAGAATATCAAGCCTGTAATTCGGCTTTATTTGTTGCCACATTTTCATTAAACTGCTGAGTGCTTTGTGCTGGTGTGTGTCCCCACAGCAGCTGGAAGGACCCTTTTAAAGAAATTGGGGCTGACGGCGACAGCAGCGATGTAGTAGTGGATTCCCTTTGGTCTTTGGTCCATGGAATGAAACAATATAAGATGTATTAATCCAGTTTGCTTAACAGTCAAAGTGCTTATACCGATTCACAGTATGTTGATCTATGTAACAATGATATATGCACGTTTCAATAAAAAGCCAGCCTTCCTGCGTAAATTGAATAACTTATTCAGCTGGTATTGTGTTTTCAAAGATTGCCTGTGAATATGGATACAATTTAGGAAAATCAAAAATGAATATGACAAAACTATGAATACAAGCAAAGCAATCACATTTACCCTGAGTTTACTCAGTCTGCTTTAAAACGTGGGTACCTAAATATAAACCACTGAAGAAAAAAAAAACATTTCACAGTGATTTGTTTTATTTCCGTACTTTTAATGTTTTTTTATGTCTGTATTTGTCTGTGCACACTGGTGACTTTTTGCTAATGTATTCCAATGTGGGTTTTTTTACTGCAAATGGCAAATAAACTGAATCTGAATTGTTTCTATCTCTAGTTTTTCCATGTTTGTAATTTCTTGGCTCTGTCACATATTTGGAATAAGATGTAGACGACATGCTCTGGTCTGATTTGTTCACCACATGAAATGACAAAGTAAAAAGTCTATCATTTCAATGGCAAAACCTATTTAGTAATACTTCTTTAAGGGAAACAAACAAAAGGAATGCATAAAATGTCTTTATTACTTCTCAAAACTGCACTCTCTCTTCACACAAATCTCCTGTTTGTCTTGTATGCCCAGGCAGTACTACGAGATGCTGTACAACACGGCGGACGAGCTGCTGAACCTGGTGGTGGACCAGGGCGTGCGTTACACCGAGCTGGAGTACATCAACGCGCTGTCCCTGCTCCACCGCAGTCAGACCGGGGTGGGCGAGCTCAGCACCCAGAACACACGACTGCAACGCCTCAAAGAGATTGTGTGCGAGCAAGCCGCCATCAAACAGGCCACCAAAGACAAGAAGATCACCACCGTCTGAGCGTGGCATAGGAGCACCAGGCGTGGCTGTAGGACCCGTGATCCTGTATCCATGGGTTACACTTTGCTCTTCCATGCATTGGTTGGAGGGCCGTGTTCCATATCCAATGAGGGCAGATTTAGTTTTTAATGTTTAAGCACTGTATGGTAAGAGTCCTCAGTTTCATCACTACTGTTCTACTCCACTTCTATTTTGAGGTCGGACTTGTAAAATCCATCTGACCAGTCCCTTTCTTCTTGCTGCTGAATGTATTTTTCACATGTGTATAGCCGCGTTAATTGTCAGGAAGGTAAGAAAATAGTTACTGGAACGCATTATTAGACCCATGGATATCTAAGGACCACTTGATGAAACATTTGCTTTTCCTGATTTCTTATCATCGTTACAGACCAGGCACAATTTGCAATTGAAGGTAACTTGTTATCAAACCTTGAAATGCTTTGTCTAATTTCTCACAAATCAAATACTTAAATTTTCCAATTCACTTGGAAGCTTTTTTCCCGACAACTATTGTGAATATGTTCTTTTGTTTTAAAGTTTTGCTTTTGTGTTTACCGCTCTCAAACTAAAACTTATTATAAGCCTTTTCTTTGACAAAATATGACCCCTGTGCACTGCCTACATCTAATGTGTTTTCCCCCCTCCCATAATCCAGGAAGTAAATTCTGAAATGTGCCATATATAACACACGCTAATATCAACTAGTTAAACATACTTTGCCTTTTGTGGCTTGGTTTCTTATCTGTACTTCTCATCTCATGCCATTGGAGTGTTCTACATACATACAATATAATCGGACAGGCATCTGCAAAGTTTTCCAACTCTCGTACTTTCATTGAATAGTAAACTCCTCTTTCTCTGTAATTGTTGTCACACAAATTTGAGCTGGAAATGTGGGTTCAGCAACCTGTATTTTTATGTTGACACTGTTTTTGTGAATACCGATATGAGCACTAAGAACTGTTTGGAAAATTGGTCTCGGCAACCAAATAGTGCAAGCTGATTGGCTCTTTGGTTGCTCGGCCGCTGCAATCACTGAATTTGGCTTCAGATGCCTGCCCTGTTTGAGTAGACTCCAACTGGCTTCAGCTGCAATAACAATTTGGCTAACATTGCCACTTGTACTGTTAGTACAATCTTTCTATATTCTACTGTATAATCCCAACATAACTGCTCCCACTTTGCTCTAGGCTTTTGATTGGTCAAGAAATCCAAAGCTCAGACTCTGCCAAATGTTACACATGGTGGAACATGGGGATCTGTAAAATTCAGAATTATGAAATGATGTACAGCATTATGTTTGTAAAAGGTAGTTTAGTTACCTCTACCAATAAAACAGTTGCTAAAAATACATGTTTAGTCACCAATTCTACAAATGCAAGACTCGTATCGTCCCCACAAAGCACTTGAGGGGTCTACAAATCATTCCACTCGCTCAACCTTCACTTGTTTTTAGTTCATTTAGTTTGGAGAAAAGTGCTTAACAAGTGGCCGGAGAAACGTTGGTCTCGTCAATAGTTGTAGGCCCGTGCGGAGGGAATCCTTATGGCTGCACAGGGCGATCCATCATAATGACACGCGGGTGCAATCGATGGGAACAAGAGCTGCTCCCAACACTATGAAACAGTCTCTGGGTTAAATCTTAAGGCTACTCTATCAGCCGAAACAATGCGTCAGCTGTTTATTATATGCCGTCGGCTTTAAGGCCATGTCTGAGTTAAAGTCTATATGACTGGTAAGATTACTCATTTAACCAAAACAGAGACTCCATGTGAATCAGATGTTTGTACCCCCATTTTTATCTTGTCTCAACACCTTATTAAGATGTTTGTATAACACCAGTTAGGTCAAATTTAAAGCCAAAAGAGGGGGGGTAAATATTATCATTTATAAAATCACCATACAATTCGATGTGAAGCCCTCTGTCAAGGTCCATTCTTTATTTTTTTTAGGAATAACATTGATAATCTCATGAAGATTTCAATACATTATGCTGATTGAAGAACCACTATAATCTATTATTATATTTCGTTCCATGTCAATTCAAAAATGACTATGGGAGACGAGATCATTTCGAAGTACAAAAATGAAATTATGTATAAACTACTTTAATAGAAACACTATCCTTTAACACACTATCTTGTATGGAAATTAGCTCAAATATTAAACAATATTAGGATAAGAGAGTGGAAATTAGTTGTACTTGATTTACCATTTACTGAACAATTTTCAATATTGAACAAAAGGGAATCATGGCCTTTGCATTTGATCCTATATTTTGTTATATTGAAACAATGTAGGCTTTGAGTCAGCTCTCCATCACACAGCACAAGTTTGGCTTCCATCCCTTCTTGCTTTAATTTGTCAATCTCGCGCCTTTTTTCATGTTATGATTGTTTGCACAACTTTTGTCAAATACAATGTAATGTGGGAATTTGGCTCACCATAATAAAGCAAATATACAAAAGACCCTTGTCATGTCATGTGTGTATTTTCTTATTGATGAGTGGCATGTTTTGAATTGTTGAGCCAGATGTTGCCATTGGAGAAGGACTAACATGCCATTTTAACAAAGAATCCTCCCAGTGAGATGTTGTCACCTGAGGAGTAGTGTGAAGCCAAAATCAACACATACTGATAGGTGTGTGGCATGTGAAATAAAGAGCAGATATGCATGCACTTGTGATTTGTTTATTTAAAAACACAAAAGTTTTAAATGTTGTTTTATAGCACGTGTCAGTACCTAAAACACAACAAATTCTGCAAAGTAATAAATTGTAACTAGTTCCATTCTCTAAAACAGTTTGTATCCATCACTAGTTTTCTCATGTGTTTTTGGTCACTCACATCTCTTTCAGACAGAAGAATGAAAAGTAGAGGACCACCCTCACTTGCTCAAAGCGTCAATTAGTGACTCACAGGGCTTAAACTTAATAATTTATTTACTTCTAATAAGGTAAATACAACAGGTTGGGGTCTCATTAGCTCACAACATTTTACTTATACAAAACTCTGCTGGAACAATATAAATGTATTTTTCTTTCTGCAAAATAAGCTTTAAAACTAACGCTAAAAGTTACCTCAGTCATTTTAGCCTATGTTTTCGCCGAATAACGAGGCCCAGCTTATCTGTCCATTATTTCCATGCCACTTACTGCGACTGGGAATACAAGACCGTATAGTTTGGTTATTATTGTAGTTGTGGCATTGAAATTGGCTAGACTAAAACGTAAATTGTTCATAATAGTTGAGTCTGTTATCTGTAATCAACTGGTTTGCCTGTAATCTACAGGGACGCCCTGAAATCTTGGTATTTAGTCCTTAACCCCAACCCAAACCTTAACCAAATTAACTGTTCTTAATCCTACATTAAAATCAACTGTGACTCCTAATATTAAATTGTAATAAACAAATAGAAACAAAAATGTGACTATTTACCCACCCTGGGATTAATCATAGACCGTGGACGAAATACCAAGGGTTTCAGATAGAGCGTAGTGTTGCTAGGTAACCGGAGACGCCGTGGAACTTGGCGGAGGAACGAGTGCAGATTCGGCGCTATTTCTTTCACAGTTCTTTTGCAATTAAGCAATGTTTTTTTCAATATTTTAATTATTAACAAGTCGTTGATGAGGTATTAACTGAAGAGGTATTAACTGAAGAGGCATAGCGTTCTACTGTGAACAAGAGCTGAAACCACGTCGCGAACGATATCATGGAGGTAAAACACCAGTTTGTTATTCTATTTTATAATCTTAATTAGCGTTCAATCTTGTATTATTGTGTTCTAATTCAGTACAGATTATTACAGGTTGTATTTTTGTGTAACAGGTAAAGCAGGCTACACTGCACAGGAGGTCTAATGGAGAGACACAGCCAGACAAGGTAGCACATATTTATCATAACAACTAGCTTAGCTAACTAGCTAGATAACTAGTTAGCTAGCTAAGTGCAAACTACAAGTGATTTTACTTATTTAGTTCCGTTGTTTATCGCTACCTCTCGTAAACTATGCGCAGACATGTGTTAGTAACAGATTATTTTAAGGAGTTGTTAACCTGTCATTTTCTTTTACATCATGATACTGTTTTTTATGGCAAAACAATGCTTTATATTTGCGTCAGCTCTGAAATGAATCAAAAAGGTCAAGGATTCTCAAGTTCGGTAAAGTCAGCTTGATATTCACAGATTCGGACTTCCGCCATGAATATCTCACGAAAGCAACGTTGTTAAACGAAAGTAATTGTGCCAAAATGATCACCTCTACTTAGGCTAACTACTACAACATCGATTTTTCAAATCCAATGCGCTGTTTTAATGCAGAGAAATCCATTCAATCCAAGTGCCGAGAAAAGCGCATAGGGAGCGTCAACAAGTATCAATACCAGCATTGTAAACGAACAATAGCTGTTACTTGAAGCCATGTACACGCACAGAACTCTAGGACACAATAAATAACTAACACTTCTAACTTGTACAACTTTTGTTTTCAGCATTTGCCTCTTTTTTTATATTTTTTATGATGAAATATGACTACAAATCTTGAATAACTTTTTTTCTAAAAGGGGCGTGGTCACCAAATTCTCAGGTATCATCAATAACTGCCATATCTAACTACTACAACTTTTGTTTTCAGCAGAAATATCTTTTTTATATTTTTATGATTAAATATGATGAAATATGACTACAAATCTTGAATAACTTTTTTTCAAAAAGGGGCGTGGTCACCAAATTCTCAGGTATCATCAATAACTGCCATATCTAACTACTACAACTTTTGTTTTCAGCAGAAATATCTTTTTTATATTTTTTATGATTAAATATGAATATGATTTTTGAATAACTTTTTTTCAAAAAGGGGCGTGGTCACCAAATTCTCAGGTATCATCAATAACTGCCATATCTAACTACTACAACTTTTGTTTTCAGAAGAAATATCTTTTTTATATTTTTATGATTAAAATGATGAAATATGACTACAAATCTTGAATAACTTTTTTTCAAAAAGGGGCGTGGTCACCAAATTCTCAGGTATCATCAATAACTGCCATATCTAACTACTACAACTTTTGTTTTCAGAAGAAATATCTTTTTTATATTTTTTATGATTAAATATGACTACAAATCTTGAATAACTTTTTTTCAAAAAGGGGCGTGGTCACCAAATTCTCAGGTATAACCAATAATTAAAATATCTCATGGGTTTGTCAGTGGTGTTGAAGCTGATTCCACAAAGCTGGATGTGGTCCAGTTCCACTGCTACGGAGATAAAATAATGTTCTATTGTAACAGGAATTACATTTCATTATTTTATGAGTAATATGCAAATACACATAGTATATACAATTATCAAATATCACATACCATTGTGCAATGGACACAACACTGCTCTCTTATCACATTCTGAAGAATTTGGTGACCACGCCCCCTTTTTAGAACAAAAGCTATTGAAGATTGATAATTAATCATAAAAATGTAACAAAGAGATAAATGCTGCAAACAAAGGTTGCAGTACTTAGATATGTTAATTATTGATTATAACTGAGATTTTGGTGACCACGCCCCTTTTAGAACAAAATTTATTGAAGATTGTGACACTTGTCATGTCAGGATGGCACTTATGAAGATGTTGGAGGAACAAAGTGCACACCCAGGGTGCAGGTTTATTTACATTGGACAGCATGTCATGCAACACTCTCTCTGTTCAGAGTTGGTGGCCTGCTTTTATAGCATATGACAGTAATTAAGCAATACTAACTGCAGCCCTACAGCAATAATTAAAGTAGTGCTTTTACACTCTTTTTATTATTATTATTTAAATTTACAAATGATTTATTTATTCTAAAACTATACTAAACTGGAAAGATAAAACCCAGGAAACCCCTCCACCCTCTCTGCAGAGTGGATGAACCCGGAATCCTCTTTAGGTGCTCCGGCTCCTCAGGACTTATTTGGCCGGAACGCCTAAAGAGGGCAGACAAGGGAGTAAAAGATAAGTATATTTAAATGTTGTACATTTATTCATTTTCCTTAACTCACACTCTTTTCCTTTACAGGTCCGCACCTTCACATACAAATCAATCTTTAATAAATGTTTTAAAACATTAGAGTCTGTCTAATTCATACTCCTGTTAACCCTCATAAAGGACTCTTCTCCATTTATAAAAAGCCATTGAAGATTCAATCATAAAAAATATGAAAAAAGGTATTTCTGCTAAAAACAAAGGTTGTAGTAGTTAGATATTGTAGTTATTGATCATACCTGAGAATTTGGTGACCACGCCCCTTTTAGAAAAAAAGTTATTCAAGATTTGTAGTCATATTTCATCACAAAAAATATAAAGAGAAAAATACAAAAAACAAAGGTTGTAGTAGTTAGATATGGTAGTTATTGATTATATTTGAGAATTTGGTGACCACGCCCCTTTTTGAAAAAAAGTTATTCAAAATTCATATTCATATTTAATCATAAAAAATATAAAAAAGATATTTCTTCTGAAAACAAAAGTTGTAGTAGTTAGATATGGCAGTTATTGATGATACCTGAGAATTTGGTGACCACGCCCCTTTTTGAAAAAAAGTTATTCAAAATTCATATTCATATTTAATCATAAAAAATAAAAAAAGATATTTCTTCTGAAAACAAAAGTTGTAGTAGTTAGATATGGCAGTTATTGATCATACCTGAGAATTTGGTGACCACGCCCCTTTTTGAAAAAAGGTTATTCAAAAATCATATTCATATTTAATCATAAAAAATATAAAAAAGATATTTCTGCTGAAAACAAAAGTTGTAGTAGTTAGATATGGCAGTTATTGATGATACCTGAGAATTTGGTGACCACGCCCCTTTTTGAAAAAAAGTTATTCAAGATTTGTAGTCATATTTCATCATATTTAATCATAAAAATATAAAAAAGATATTTCTGCTGAAAACAAAAGTTGTAGTAGTTAGATATGGCAGTTATTGATGATACCTGAGAATTTGGTGACCACGCCCCTTTTTGAAAAAAAGTTATTCAAGATTTGTAGTCATATTTCATCATATTTAATCATAAAAATATAAAAAAGATATTTCTGCTGAAAACAAAAGTTGTAGTAGTTAGATATGGCAGTTATTGATGATACCTGAGAATTTGGTGACCACGCCCCTTTTTGAAAAAAAGTTATTCAAAAATCATATTCATATTTAATCATAAAAAATATAAAAAAGATATTTCTTCTGAAAACAAAAGTTGTAGTAGTTAGATATGGCAGTTATTGATGATACCTGAGAATTTGGTGACCACGCCCCTTTTTGAAAAAAAGTTATTCAAAAATCATATTCATATTAATCATAAAAAATATAAAAAAGATATTTCTTCTGAAAACAAAAGTTGTAGTAGTTAGATATGGCAGTTATTGATGATACCTGAGAATTTGGTGACCACGCCCCTCTTTGAAAAAAAGTTATTCAAAATTCATATTCATATTTTATCATAAAAAATATAAAAAAGATATTTCTGCTGAAAACAAAAGTTGTAGTAGTTAGATATGGCAGTTATTGATCATACCTGAGAATTTGGTGACCACGCCCCTCTTTGAAAAAAAGTTATTCAAAATTCATATTCATATTAAATCCTATTTATTCATAAAAAATACAAAAAAGAAACAAATGCTGAAAACAAAGGTTGTAGTAGTTAGATATGGTAGCTATTTATAGTATTTGAGAGTTTAGTGCGTGTACTTGGCTTAAAATAAAAACTATTGTTCGTTTACACAGCTGGTATTGGCATTTGTTGACGCTCCCTAAGTGCTTTTGCATTGGATTCAATGGATTTCTCTGCATTAAAACAGCGCATTGGATTAGAAAAATCGATTTTGTAGTAGTTAGCCCATGTAGAGGTGATCATTTTGGCACAATTACTTTCGTTTAACAACGTAGCTTTCGTAAGATATTCACCGCGGAAGTCCGAATCTGTGAATATCAAGCTAACTTTACCGAACTGGATTCTCACATGTTCTGTTGGTGTCATTTGTTTTCAGTATTGATACTTTTGTAACGTGAGGGTCTCAAATGATCTATTTTAACTATATATCTATATATATATACTATATATATATCTCTTTATGATAATCAACACAAACGATTAATATATGATTATATTATTAAATATGTCAAAGCTTTTTAAGAATGTGTGTTTTCCAGAATACTTTTTTCCAAAGGGTACGTTGACTCCTCCTTCAGTATTTTTGTTTTTAAATAGCTCACATTATGCTTTTTTATGACACTGTAGGAATCATTTTCTGTACTATACAGTAGTCCACAACCCTCCACGCATACAGTAGCATGGATTGGTGGAAATGTCCAGACTTTGGGGACTTCAAACTTCGTCTCAATGCAAATAAAGTGAATTAAGAAATACAATTCCAACAGAACAAAAAAGTGAAATTGCAATTTTATGCACAGTTGACGAGAACTGCATTCAATGATAAGGTTGTTTTGTTATTTGAATTCCATGAACTATGACAATCCTGTTTTATATTGAGTTTCAAGTTGTTGAAACGGTCTGAGTGTGTCATGTGTTTCCTCCACAGAACAGTGCTTTGACCGCTGAAGCTCTGTCTGGCTGTGCTTCACAGAGTGGATACTGGCTGAGCAGCTCTGGACTGCAACACCAGCACCACCACATGCCCCTACAGGTCAGCACAAGGCCAAAGAAGGCCAATACAGTTTCTCAAGTGGCATTCATGAGAGCTATGTTAAAATAAATAACCATCAATAGACTGTTCTTTCATTGCAACAGCATTTTAGGCTTTTTATCCCTTCAAATATATACTGGTAATGTAAGAGAGAAAAAACATGTTTGTAAGTTTACTTTGTCTTTACCTAACATTAAATAAACTCATATTGAAGTGTTGTAACGGTATTACCACATTTTTTTTATTTCACATGGAGAGCTAGCAAAATTATTAACAGTGTGCATGCGTGTGTGCTTAACATACAGGTAACACAAGTTTGGATTGTAATTGTAATGATTTTATTTAACCAGTAACTGCTTAAAATTTCTTTTAAAGTTTGAGATGTGATTGGAATAGGGTTGGCCCCCAGGATGTTCGAGTTCACATCAACATTTGTATAATTCATTCAATTTAGTCATTTTTAATCACAGAATCGAAACCTCACTGATGTGTCCATATTATGCAAATACATCCATCTTCGCAAACTGGAACTTCAAAACAACAAAATAAAAGGTAAGCTGAAACAAATATGTAAAATACAAAAATGATGGTTTTTGTTTTCTGTTTATCCTTCTCAGACTTATCTTGTGTGAGCCATATGCCCTCACTCGCCATCTTGGATGCATCCCACAATGAGATCTCTGAGTTCTTTGGATTCCAGGCTCTTAAGAACCTGAAGGTAAAACAGCACAGCACCTTGAAGTGACAGGATAAGACACAGTTTGATTGGTGGCTGGGGCTTCACTCTCCACTCGCAGAATTCCCTCAAGATAGACCTAGCTTTCCATTGCCCATCTGTGAACACACTAAATTATGCTTACAAGGAGCTAACCTTCACATGACTGTGAACTTCTCCTAAAAAAAAATTTTTGTTTGCTCTGATTTAATTTGGACAGATTTTTAGATGATCCAATCTTATATACCAAATTTTTCAGAGAACAAAAAAAATCATAACGTCCAAACTTCTGGTGGTTCAATGAACATTTTTGGAGAAAGATGTACTATTTTCCTGTTGATTTTGGCCCTCAAGTTGACAGGTGTAAATATCTACCAAAGAAAAACGACCCTGACAATACACAAGATTCACCCACTACACATCTTTAGTTGTTGTAATCCCTTCATAAATGTTTCTGTCTGAATTGTTTACGCTCTTCTTAACTATATTATTTGAGAAGAATCACCTTTATAGTGATTTATTTTATGTTTATAATAAGTTATCCATTGCTCTGACAATCCCCTCAACCACTGCTGTTGTTCTTTACTCACATTTCCTCATCATTCTGCTGATTTTTGGATTGAGAATCCCTGTAAACAGCCCTGTGTTGAAATGATATATATACTGCATATGGGCAGACACAAATCAGTAGTTTTGTAAATACTTTTGGTGGATTTGAATCCTTTTGTGTTAAATTACTTTTATTCTTTATTTTAATAACTTACATGCTTTTTTGTAAACTTTTAGGAGGTTGACTTCTCCTACAACCGCATGGCAAAGATGAGGGATCTATCAGACTTTTTGTCTCTGTCTAAACTCAATTTGAACAGTATCCTTTACGCTGACCTTGAGCCACGTGTTATGGATGTGTAATTTACATTGTGAATTGCAATTTATTGTGTCCAGACATACACATTTGTGAATCTGATTGATATGTTGTCGAATGTGGTTTCATATGTATTGTTCTTGACATGGCTGCTACAGATAATAACTTTAGTGAGATTTGTGGATTGGAGTCGTGTTATAAACTTACCCAGCTGAGTCTGGCCAACAACAAGATCTCCAAGATCAGCTCCCTGGACAGCGCACCTTTGATCCATCTCAACCTGGTAGGTCCACTGTCTTTTCCATACACCTTTCTCAAGCCCTAGAAATGTAATAAATAGTTGGCATCTTTTGGAAGGAGAAAAAATAGAAATAAATTAGTTTGTGCATAGTGTGCATAGTGTTGTGCAGCACAAAACTGGACATGATGACACTTTTTTTTCCAAAACAAATGAAAACGTGACAGAAAAAAGATTCTTTACATGTGCACATTCTTGTGGCCATTGAAGCTACTGCCACTGCAGATGGGTCCAACTGACCCATAAGTTTGATCTCAGCTACAAGAGGAATATTGCTAATGGCAACTTTTATTTTTTGAATCTTCTCAGCTTCTAATGACATAATGATTAATGGTGCAGTTATATATATAAGACTTTGCTCTAGACTCTACTGCCCTCAGATACTACCAGCTGCGATGTCAGTTTATGTTGGGTTGAGTATTTTTTCAGACCAACTTTGTTATTAAACAAAAGCCCTGCTCAGTTCACAGATCAAGTTGTTGAAGCAGATGATTGTATAAGTATAAAGTAATCTTTATCATATAGTTAATTAGTAGTTATGTTATGTTATAGTATGTTAGTTAGTAGTTATGCTATAGCACATAAAGAACAATGGCCGTGTAATAATGGCGATGGTAAGAGTTTTATGGCTGTCTGAACAGAAAACATACTTTTGCAGTACAGGTAAATGTGGCACCCTAAACCCACTGAAATGGCCCTTTTAGTATTTGCACTCCACCGCTTTGCTGCTCCTTCTTCCTCATGAGTCGGTGCTGGCTTCATTTCCACTTTGAGTAAAACCTTGGCCACCCACACTAGACTCAGCAGATGGTGCTCCAGCAGGCCCTTTCTCACTCTCTGTTCCTGTGCATGTGTGCTCCATCCTTTATCATGACTTCCCTCATTGTCAGCAGTCATTGGTCTAACTGTGCTTCTCCTGTCTGTGCCGCCGTTCCCCTTAGGAGCAGCTGTTGTGGTTTCCAGCCTGGAGCCCATTCAATACGCCATAACAAAAACCTTCCCAGTGTCCGTTTCAGTCCCGACCTATCTCGCCTCACCAAACACCATGTCCCTGTCAGCCCGCTGTGGAACTGACCCAGAGCTGCCAGGGACCATTGCAGTCACCTACTGTACCCCCACTGACAGGAGCCCTCTGCCAGGCATCAGGCTTGGCAAACATGGACGGAGGTGCAGCCAGACAGCCACATAACAACTTTAGACAATGGAAGCAAATCAAAACAGGCGGCTTTAGTCTATGCAAGAGTGCTAAGGGAATAGGAATGTACACTAACAGAGCAGGCTATAACATAATGTTGAAAGTTAAAAAAAAATACAGTTTGTACTCTACAACAAACGTGGATTCTTATTATACTGCATTTCTGTATTTATTAATTTGACCATTGAGTACATACCTTATTCATCTTCTTTCGTTGTGTGTTAGCATGCTGTGCTAGCACATCACCAGCTGTTAGGCTGTCAGTCCACACCTGTCAGAGTTTAGCACAGAGCAGCAGGCGTGTCATGAGGGGGAGAGTTCAGACATCCTGCAGAGCCTCTGGGCCATGTCCTTCACTTTGATTAATGCCAATCACAGTGATCCAATGCACAAAATGTAACTGTGTATTATGTGCCCTTTGTCGGATTGCAGAAGGGGAACAAGTTGACGAAGGTTGAAGGACTTGAAAACCAGAGGTGTCTTCGGGAGCTGGATTTGTCCCACAATCAGATTTCAAGTCTGTTCGGCCTGCAGCACCTCCATGTGCTCTGCCTCCTCAACATGAATAAAAACATGGTACGCAATCTGTAGCTTAGCTTTATGTTCAGTCCAGTTAAAAGTGGGTGTTCCAAACTTTATGATTGGCATAAATAATTGTTTGTCTCAAGAGAAAGAGTCACATTAACATGTTCTTTGCATCGTAGTAAAAAACATGTTTTCTTTTGAATACTAGTCAGAAAGAGCCCTGTGAGTCACCAGGTTCGCTAAGCAAGAGTGGTCCTCTCTTTTTCTTTGTTTTGTCTAAATTGTTTTTGAAGATGTGACAAGATGTCTTTGTTGTGCACTTCAACCAGATGTTATCTAAAATTTACCCAATAAGGAAATTGAATAGAATAGCAATAATTGGATTATAGGATTTTTGTTGTTCAAGTTTATTTTACAGTCTTCTCCAAAAGTTTGATGCGTCTGAGAAAGAAGAAAGCAAAAATCTACTATTATCCTAGTGTTATGTTGTCATATTTATTTTGTTTCACATTGTGTGGAAATATTTGTGTCATCTATCAACATACTCAAATCCATCAAAAATGCAGCAAGAATTTACATAAGAAAAATTATGACTTTTTTCTTTAAACAGATAATAAAATAAGATAAGAGATCCTTTATCCGCCCCACTGTGGGGAAATTTCAATGTATAGGCCTACTATAACAAATTGTTAAATCGTTTATATTCATTCATTTCCAGATAGAGGAAATCCAGGAGTGCAAGCACATATGTAATCTTCTACTTCTGAGTGACCTGAGTTTACTGGAAAATCCTGTGCTGGTACGTAGTAACTTATTCCTCAACAAATCAATGGCATATCCTCTCAACTTGTATTTGTCTTACTCAGTGAAATTTTACACTGTGATGTTTGAAGTTATGATGTAGTTTTCTGGTGTACAGTGCACTTGTGTCCGCTTTAAACTTGTACACTGTATAAGTATAGACTACTTGCTGATAAAAAACACCCTCTGAGTGTGAGTGAGGATTTCTCTCCACAATTCTGATCAGTAGTAATCAGTGGTCACCGTCTTGGCTTGCCGTTTACTAATATTACGTTGTATTGCAGATTTTCACCTGCTAAGCTGTAAATCACTGGTGAGATGTAGTTGATAGAAAAAAGTAAACTTAAATTATACGTCCAAACAACAGCATGCTTGTGTTAGCACTTCTGCATGCAAAGGCAAAGGCAGACTCTAGAAATATTTGAAGACATAAAGAAGCATAATCTATCCTGTCACATGGTTTTTTCAGGAACACCCAGAGTATAGATTATCCGTTATCTTCTTGCTTCAGCATTTAACTGTTCTGGATCAAGAAACTGTTTCTCCTGAAGAGAAGGTATACTTTTGAAATCACAAAAGGTAACGTGGATGGCAAGCTAAAGTCAAAGTGTTGTAGGTGTCTGCTGTGAACCTGTACGAGCCTCCTCTGGAAGTGCTGGCTGCCAGGGACCACATGATACAGCTGCTTTATCAGATGATGCAGCCTCAGCTCCTCAGCCAAAGGTGTGTACTCGTGCAGTGCCGGTAAAGCGCACTGGTTGATTACACATAGGACACCTTTACTGCAGAAGGCATATTCCAGACATTTTAAAAGCCTGTAGCCCTCCTTCAGTCTTTCAGTTCTGGTTCAATCCTGGTTCGGTCCTGCTCTGGTCCTGGTTCAGTCCTGCTTAGACAGAGTTGCTTTAGACCTGCTTTAGCCCTAGTTCAGTCCTACTTTAGTCCTGCTTCAATTAGTCCTACAGTCTTAGTCCTGGTTCATTCCTGTGTTGGTCCTGGGTTAGAGTTAGCAGTGGTCAAAAGCATTGCCTTGTAACGGACAGACAGTCAGCGTGTCGTATACTTGTTTGCTTTTCTAAAATCATAGTCTAGATTTAATACACTATCCTCAATATTCCTTGTCAGAGTAAGAAGTTTCATGATACAAATGTTGTACCCACATGCACTCTTTATGATGGAAAGCTGTTGGTTCAGCACTTTTTAAATATCCGTCATCAGTATATATTGGACCACTTAAGTTCTGCTTCTTAAGCTGTAAAACTGGTGTTTAAATTCAACTGTGTTCTAGTTTATGACTGTTATTATAGTACTCAGGTGCCATATAAAGTTAAAGGCATTATTTTATTAAATGGTGTGTTTATACAGTAAGGATCAATACCAGGGGAGAGTTTCTCTGTGAACTAACACAACAGAAGAGGTCTTATTTTGCATGCATTTGGACTATATTGTCCTGATTCTTGATTTTACTGGAAATGATAGTATGATGGTTTTTATCAATTGGCTAAACATAACTTTTACAAAAACAAAATGATCATTGCAACTTTCACATATTGCATTGTCTCCTGTAAGACATGTACAATACAAATAATGATTAAAAAAGAAAAAAGAAAAGGCTTCATATGTCTCCATATTTCTATGTCAGTAAAACTTGCTGTTGTGTGTGCAGTACTTTGCCTGGTGTGGACAACCCATACCCGATGCTGGTGCTGACTGGGCCCCAGTGCTGCGGCAAGAGGGAGATGGCTCACAGACTGTGCCAGGAGCTCAGCGAATACTTCGGCTATGGGTCAGTCCTGGGATTGGGATGAGATCCTGTGAGATAAGATTTTCAAAATATACTGCAAATGTGTGAAATTCATGGATGTTAACTATGGGCACTTTCATAAATTCAAGTGAATGACAATCAGGGTCATGGTCCTTCCCACTTAAAGTGATTGTCTGGAGTTTGTCAGAAAAGAGAGAGAAAGGTACAGGATTTGAAAAAATGACCCAAGCTCCCTCCCCCTTCCTTTCTGATTGGTCTATGCCTACGTTTCCGTAAAACATTTAAATGTTTATCTGAGAACACATTATACTTATACATTATTAATACACATGCACGGAGGTTTTCAGAATTATTTGTTAATGTTTTCATGACAAAAATAATGTTTTAATGCACGAAAAAAATGATTGCGGTAAACTCGGAAGTAGCTATTAACATTGATTGAATATTATAGGACACATCTGCAGAGGATCTGATTATGGATATAGGTTCAGTATATACAGTGCCTTGCGAAAGTATTCGGCCCCTTTGAACCTTTCAACATTTCGCCACATTTCAGGCTACAAACATAAAGATATAAAAATTAATTTTTTTGTCAAGAATCAACAACAAGTGGGACACAATCGTGAAGTGGAACAAAATTTATTGGATAATTTAAACTTTTTTAACAAATAAAAAACTGAAAAGTGGGGCGTGCAATATTATTCGGCCCCCTTGCGCTAATACTTTGTAGCGCCACCTTTTGCTGCAATTACAGCTGCAAGTCGCTTGGGGTATGTCTCTATCAGTTTTTCACATCGAGAGACTGGAATTCTTGCCCATTCTTCCTTGCAAAACAGCTCGAGCTCAGTGAGGTTGGATGGAGAGCGTTTGTGAACAGCAGTCTTCAGCTCTGTCCACAGATTCTCGATTGGATTCAGGTCTGGACTTTGACTTGGCCATTCTAACACCTGAATACGTCTATTTGTGAACCATTCCATTGTAGATTTGGCTTTATGTTTTGGATCATTGTCCTGTTGGAAGATAAATCTCCGTCCCAGTCTCAGGTCTTTTGCAGACTCCAACAGGTTTTCTTCCAGAATGGTCCTGTATTTGGCTCCATCCATCTTCCCATCAATTTTAGCCATCTTCCCTGTCCCTGCTGAAGAAAAGCAGGCCCAAACCATGATGCTGCCACCACCATGTTTGACAGTGGGGATGGTGTGTTCAGGGTGATGAGCTGTGTTGCTGTTACGCCAAACATATCGTTTTGCATTGTGGCCAAAAAGTTTGATTTTGGTTTCATCTGACCAGAGCACCTTCTTCCACATGTTTGGTGTGTCTCCCAGGTGGCTTGTGGCAAACTTTAATCGAGACTTTTTATGGATATCTTTGAGAAATGGCTTTCTTCTTGTCACTCTTCCATAAAGGCCAGATTTGTGCAGTGCACGACTGATTGTTGTCCTATGGACAGACTCTCCCACCTCAGCTGTAGTTATCTGCAGTTCATCCAGAGTGATCAGATTTGCAGTGGTCTGATACTCCTTCCATTTCAATATAATTGCTTGCACAGTGCTCCTTGAGATGTTTAAAGCTTGGGAAATCTTTTTGTATTCAAATCCGGCTTTAAACTTCTCCACAACAGTATCTCGGACCTGCCTGGTGTGTTCCTTTGTCTTCATGGTTCTCTCTGCGCTTTAAACAGAACCCTGAGACTATCAAAGAGCAGGTGCATTTATACGGAGACTTGATTACACACAGGAGCATTCTATTTATCATCATCAGTCATTTAGGACAACATTGGATCATTCAAAGATCCTCACTGAACTTCTGGAGTGAGTTTGCTGCACTGAAAGTAAAGGGGCCAAATAATATTGCAAGCCCCACTTTTCAGTTTTTTATTTCTTAAAAAAGTTTAAATTATCCAAAAAATGTCGTTCCACTTCACGATTGTGTGATTCATGACAACAATTTTAATTTGTATATCTTTATGTTTGAAGCCTGAAATGTGGCGACATGTTGAAAGTTTCAAGGGGGCTGAATACTTTCGCAAGGCACTGTAAATGGGTTACTCAGCGCGGATGTTCAGATGTTCCAGAGCCTAGAAAAACTTGATTCGGAGGCTCCGTAAAAACAACAAAATGAGCATGCGCGCAGCTACGAGCATTAGCGCTGATGATTGACAGCTCTTGGCATCACTTGATTGGTTAACGTGGACGGCATTGTGGATTCTGAGCTATAGCTAAGAGAAAGGAAGGCGGGACTTACCCGTAATATTAGAATTCATAAAATGACTTATTTCATATCAATATTTAAGGCCAGGAGGTCAATTTAATACAATTATTAAAATGTGTAATTCATTTAGAGTTCCAGACTATCACTTTAACTATGTAAACTAATTATGAGAATCTATTTTTTGAAACAGAATACTTTTTTAAGTGTTTTGTTTTTGGCCTTGATCTTGCTCCCCATTTGTGTTCTGTGTGTTTTGTTTGTGCCTTTGTAAAGGTCTGTCATTTCACACCATTGACCTTGAGACATTTCTGTGATTTTAGTCTGGCCTGTTTTCACTTTTGTTGGGGCAGTAATTTCAACCCTTCTAATTCGGCCTTAGTCCAATTAAAGTTTAGTTAAGATTTGTTTTGTGACCCCCTATATATTTGTGTTTTACCAGATTTTTTTTGTCAACCATTTACATTCCTGTTATTAAAATACTTCTTTTGCCATTTAACATCTTGATATACGTATGTTACTTCCCTCACTCAAGCTCAGCTGGATCTGGTATTTTTTTTGCAAGAATACAGCTGCGCCACTTGGCAGAGGTCTATGCTCAAAGATGTTTTGTTGTAGTAAATGCATTAAACACAACGTACAATAAAAGGAAAGTCGTTTTTTGATAGATATTGAGATTCACTATATTTGAAATTATGATATCCAGGTGTCATATTATACTGTAGTAGACCAATTCATAATATTCTTTTATAAAACTAGGTGCAACATGTTGATAATGAAAAAGCATTGTTGGAAGCCCTAATCCCCTTGACTTTCTTTCCACGTTGGATGATCAATAAAACTAATCAACATTCTAAAGCTCATAATCTTTCCCGTGTAATTAAAATCATATAGGATTACAAAAGCAATGTACCTCTTTATTAGCTTTCACAGATCATATTTACTGTGCAAACCTTGTCTGTGAACTCTGAGGCCAACCTAATAATTGTTACATTAATTAAAATCGAGCTGCAATGTACATCTATTGATTTGAGATGTGCTGCCACTGCCTAACTTTCCCATTCAAGGTTGTTCAACACTTTCAATTACATACTCCGGATACCGAATTATTGCGTTTTCTTTTTTTCAAATCTTGAACACAATTATGAATGTAGAATTACATTTTCAAACAATACAGAGATGGATATGACTCAGTTTTGTTATAGTTCTAATTAAATAACGCTGAGGTGCTCCGTAGTAAAAGTCTATCCTTTGCTAATGTGTGATACACATTATCACATTTATTCGTCCCAAATTTCAGTGTAGCATCACAAGTTACAGAACAGTAGGAATGAGGAGCACACAGAATAAGTTAAGTGAACAATAGCTTTACTAATTAACACAAAAACAATCTAAACAATAAGCCTTTACTTTAAGTGTTGGTATTGTATCAAATGTGAATTATATTATTAAGTACTCATTTTACTTACTTTTTGTACTCATTTCTATTTCATTGTATTTGACAGAATCTCCCACACCAGTAGAAGTGCTTACTTTGGAGAAGAGGATGGTGTCGACTACCATTTTGTCTCTGAGGAAAACTTTGAGAACATGATCCTCATGGTACGCTCTTTATGTACCCACTGGCTTGTCTTGTGTGACCAGTAGTGGCCAAACTGGACAGCAACTTGCACTTTATGTTTGAGATCGATTACATATAAAATATGTCTACAATAGTTACGCTGTTTTATATGAGTATTGTTTTAACTTAAACTATAATAATAATTACTGGCAGTTACTTGTTGAGTGGAACAGATAATTAACTTAAGAAGCTGTTTGAGTTGTGGAAGACTGGCTGATAATAGCCTAATAAAGACACACTGAAGTAAACTGAGCTCTTTCAGGGGGCGTAATGGCCTTAATTTAATTTCTTCATGATGACTTATGCCAGCATATCACGGCAGGTTTTCCATCACTGTCACAGCTAAAGATAGAAAAAGAAACACCCACATGCCTCTTTCACTATTAAACTCTGCCTTAACAAAGGGGATATTTGATTGTGTTTTAGTGCATCGCTACAAAGGATGGATGTTTAAACCCCGGGCATTATCACAATTCATCCATGACATTTTCATAACATTTTGTAATGGAAGTATAGTGCAATTTCAGGATCAATTCTAAGTTGAAATGTGATACAAAATGGACATGAAACTGTACAATATGTATTGTGATTCAAATTATCATGAATTTATGCAGCCAGAGATGCCACCCTGTGCACACAAAAATTGTAATTTTCTGATTATTATGGTTAAGCATAATCAAGTTTTTCTTAAACTGTGGTAGAGTGGATATTATGCAATGTCCACCCCTTTTCCTTTTTACCTGGATTAAATAACTAGGTTCAGGGACAAACCAAGCCACTGTTAAAGCCAGTGCTTCTGCCACGCTTACATTTCTTCAGAATATCATTGTTTTTGTAATTAAGTAATTATTCCCAGTTTGTTTTTGTCATGCGTTGCATTATTGAATTACTTTAAACATTCTTACATCAATTCTTACACTGAAATCAATTCATTTTAAGGAAGACATTTTGCAGTATATTTCCCAATTTGACCCCAGTAGAAGATAAGTTGTTCCTAGAGTTGGCATACGTTTTCCATTTCCCCTGTAGCGTGTTATGTAAGCGAATGTGATGTATTGTATGGAGGTGAGGGTCAGTCAGTGATTTACACATGCAGTGCTTTGAAGTTGTTATTGATGCCTTTTGTCTAGGCCCTCAAACACCCTTGGTAATGTTAACACTATGCACACGTTTTCTTTGCAGCCTGTAACCTGCTGTTATCGACGCGCCTCTCTTCACACAGTGGTTCATGCCAGTGTCTTTCATGTGCTCGTTCTCCTAATCCTAAAAAAATACAGTATTTGAATGCTTAAAGGGCACAAAGAAACAGAAGTCATAGCAGTCATCGTACAGATGGGGACTGCGTATTCATAACAGGAATCTAGCCCGTACATTTGACCCATCCCTCCAAACCCACGAGGGAAACCTGTCAGAGGTCGCAGCAGTGCAGCGCCCAGGGAGCTTCCAGATGATCTGCCAAGTCTGTTAAAAACGATATGAAGCAGACAACACAAAGCAGCAGACTGGCCATATTTCACCAATACCATGTGCTTTTCAGTACTATTTTTTATTTATCATTTATACTGAATTGTTTTAGCTCTATCGATGCAGCTCCAGATTCCAAGACATTCCTATATATGTACATTTTTACAAGAGTCGTTCTCAAAGCACTCAAGCTCAAGGCTCTCCTGATTGATCAGAAACCTCGTCCATTGCACTCCTACTAGTAGTAGTAGTTTTTTTTTCTTTTGAACTAAAATAAAATGGGATTTGTGAAGTAAGATATTCATGCTCGAAAAAGGGGCAATTGGTTGACACCAATTTGGATATGAATACTGCATTAGAAAACTTTTTTCATCTGTTTCTCTGAATGCCCTTTTTCATGCTTGTCAAGTCAAAGTTTAGTCCCACTTTTGATGTTTTCTGTTGAGATAGTTGAGAAGACACAAATAACTAGCAATTTGTGAAATTGTCTGGATTGCTTTGTCAAATATCCCTTTCAACCATGACCTACAAGTTGCAGAGCCATTCCTGAGTCTAATCTTCACTAGGCGTATAAATAGCACCCCTCTCATAAAAATGCCCAGACATGAGCCAGAGGTCATTTTGGAGAAGTAACAAAAGTGAGATTTTTTTTGCTCTGACCTAAAGGTGAAAAGTTGAGTTCACAGGTGAGGTTGTTAATCTTGACAGAACATGCTCAGGATTGTGCCTGCTGTAGGTGATAAACATGGCTTGCTGTATTATAAGAAATCTCTGAAAGAATTCAGGACTTTACCTTTTAATACATCATTTTTATTTTGTTATAGGGTAAGTTTATACAGACGGTGACATATGCAGGTCACCGGTATGGCCTCACCAGAGATGCAGTGGAGGAGGTGGCCAGGGAAGGTCTGGCCTGCTGTGTCCACATGGAGCTGGAGGTGAGCGATAGGCAACAGTGCTTCTGCAACAGTCTTTTCATTGACAAATTCTCTGAGGATCCCCATGCTTTAGACAAATGAATTTGTTGTATGAAACAAAATATATGATTTTATCTGAATTTGAAGTGAAGCGATAACCGCATTTCTTTATCAAACTTTATTGGTCAGTTTAACTACGGTGGTCCCTCTCTATGAAGCTGATCTAAAGATGTGCATCTATATGCATGTGAAAACTAGTTTTTTTTATAGTTTTAAAGTTTGGGTGCTCTAGCTATATTTGGTTCAAAGAAAGTGCAGTAATATGGTTCACATCCTCACAAAGCGTGCACATTTATTCACACCAGAGTCAGAGTGTGAACTAAAAAGTCTTGTCTCTCAGTGCGTTCAAAGATGCAACTTTTTTAGATTTATTTAATAACCTTGTTATAAATTGTCACAACCTTTATCATAATTCAATTGGACACTAGATACAGATATACAATGCCTTGCGAAAGTATTCGGCCCCCTTGAACCTTTCAGCATTTCGCCACATTTCAGGCTTCAAACATAAAGATATAAAAATTAAATGTTTTGTCAAGAATCAACAACAAGTGGGACACAATCGTGAAGTGGAACAAAATTTATTGGATAATTTAAACTTTTTTAACAAATAAAAAACTGAAAAGTGGGGCGTGCAATAATACTTTGTAGCGCCACCTTTTGCGGCAATTACAGCTGCAAGTCGCTTGGGGTATGTCTCTATCAGTTTTGCACATCGAGAGGCTGGAATTCTTTCCCATTCTTCCTTGCAAAACAGCTCGAGCTCAGTGAGGTTGGATGGAGAGCGTTTGTGAACAGCAGTCTTCAGCTCTTTCCACAGATTCTCGATTGGATTCAGGTCTGGACTTTGACTTGGCCATTCTAACACCTGGATACGTCTATTTGTGAACCATTCCATTGTAGATTTGGCTTTATGTTTTGGATCATTGTCCTGTTGGAAGATAAATCTCCGTCCCAGTCTCAGGTCTTTTGCAGACTCCAACAGGTTTTCTTCCAGAATGGTCCTGTATTTGGCTCCATCCATCTTCCCATCAATTTTAGCCATCTTCCCTGTCCCTGCTGAAGAAAAGCAGGCCCAAACCATGATGCTGCCACCACCATGTTTGACAGTGGGGATGGTGTGTTCAGGGTGATGAGCTGTGTTGCTTTTACGCCAAACATATCGTTTTGCATTGTGGCCAAAAAGTTCGATTTTGGTTTCATCTGACCAGAGCACCTTCCACATGTTGGTGTGTCTCCCAGGTGGCTTTTGGCAAACTTTAAACAAGACTTTTTATGGATATCTTTGAGAAATGGCTTTCTTCTTGCCACTCTTCCATAAAGGCCAGATTTGTGCAGCGCACGACTGATTGATGTCCTATGGACAGACTCTCCCACCTCAGCTGTAGTTATCTGCAGTTCATCCAGAGTGATCATGGGCCTCTTGGCTGCATCTCTGATCAGTCTTCTCCTTGTTTGAGATGAAAGTTTGGAGGGACGGCCGGGTCTTGGTAGATTTGCAGTGGTCTGATACTCCTTCCATTTCAATATAATTGCTTGCACAGTGCTTCTTGAAATGTTTAAAGCTTGGGAAATCTTTTTGTATCCAAATCCGGCTTTAAACTTCTCCACAACAGTATCTCGGACCTGCCTGGTGTGTTCCTTTGTCTTCATGGTTCTCTCTGCGCTTTAAACGGAACCCTGAGACTATCAAAGAGCAGGTGCATTTATACGGAGACTTGATTACACACAGGAGCATTCTATTTATCATCATCAGTCATTTAGGACAACATTGGATCATTCAAAGATCCTCACTGAACTTCTGGAGTGAGTTTGCTGCACTGAAAGTAAAGGGGCCGAATAATATTGCACGCCCCACTTTCCAGTTTTTTATTTCTTAAAAAAGTTTAAATGATCCAATAAATTCCGTTCCACTTCACGATTGTGTCCCACTTGTTGTTGATTCATGACAAAAAATTAAAATTGTATATCTTTATGTTTGAAGCCTGAAATGTGGCGAAATGTTGAAAGGTTCAAGGGGGCCGAATACTTTCGCAAGGCACTGTACTAGATATTAGTGTTGCATTTGACTAACAGGAATGCTAGATATACAGTATACTCTGATTACATGTTACTTGACTTTACACCCTGCTGTTTGCATGTCTCTTCATGCTGCTTGTATCTGCTACTCATCCATCATGGTTTTCTTTATTTCAGGGTGTCTTCAGTCTGAAAGAAACTCACTTTGAGCCACGATACATCCTTGTGATACCAACCCAAGTAGACAAGTACATCGGCCACCTGAAGAAACGGAACCTTTACTCCCCAGAGGAAATTGACCTGGCTGTGTCTCGCATAGAGACGTACGCTAACATCAACAGAGTGCAGCCCGGATTCTTTGATAATGTCATTGCATCTGGTTTGTACTTGGGCTCTTTGAAATGTTTAAACAATGTATGTCAAAGGCACCATTGGTCTTGCGGCCCCCTTTTTTATTGACACATTTACTTAGTTATATTTTTCTCTTAAAAGTACACAGTGAGTAGAGATCATATATTGCGGTCCAGGTAACTATGAAAACCTTTGATGGACAATATGCCGTTGTCAACAGTGGTCTCCAACTCTCAGTCATTCACCAGACTGCCAAGGAAAGAATCCTTTAGTTTGATAATTGTCCGGATCTCTCCATACGTCTTAGTTACTTGAAATTGTAGTAGGCTGACATGTAAACAGCGCCCGCAATGTGGTCCTCCATGGTTCTTTTACATAACTGTGGTCTCCATGGTTCTTTTACATAACTGTGGTCCTCCATGGTTCTTTTACATAACTGTGGTCCTCCATGGTTCTTTTACATAACTGTGGTCTCCATGGTTCTTTTACATAACTGTGGTCCTCCATGGTTCTTTTACATAACTGTGGTCCTCCATGGTTCTTTTACATAACTGTGGTCCTCCATGGTTCTTTTACACAACTGTGGTCCTCCATGGTTCTTTTACATAACTGTGGTCCTCCATGGTTCTTTTACATAACTGTGGTCTCCATGGTTCTTTTACATAACTGTGGTCCTCCATGGTTCTTTTACATAACTGTGGTCCTCCATGGTTCTTTTACATAACTGTGGTCCTCCATGGTTCTTTTACACAACTGTGGTCCTCCATGGTTCTTTTACATAACTGTGGTCCTCCATGGTTCTTTTACATAACTGTGGTCCTCCATGGTTCTTTTACATAACTATGGTCCTCCATGGTTCTTTTACATAACTGTGGTCCTCCATGGTTCTTTTACATAAGTGTGGTCCTCCATGGTTCTTTTACATAAGTGTGGTCGGCCATGATCCCTTTTTTCAAACTTGTCAGTGCACAGTGGAGGAAACGATATTAGTAGTACCTGTGAAACAAAAACGCAATTCTTGCATCCTTTTTGTCCCTAATCAACCAATTTATTTCAAGAAGGCAAATTGACATGGAGAGTCATCAGCTCAAGTGAAATTATAAGACTATGACAACATTTCAAAAAACATGGTGGATGTAAACTTACAGTTGTAGCAACTGTAAAAATTACACAAAGCACTTTTTATTAATCAACAATATGTAACAGTCCATACTTTTTTCTTTCTTTCTAATACACTCTCACGTACTGTATTATGTCATCAAGACTTCATAATTCTTGGCAAATTAAGGCTAAAAGATAAAATACAAAATATAGTCAGTGTTAAAGAAGTGTTTTGTCATATTTCTGCAAAACATGCTCAAGGGACGGGCCTTTAACTGTATAGACGCCAAGACAAGTAACATTTTGCCATCAATGAATGAATGAAACATAGGCTGGGATGCAACAATGGCCCTTCACTGATTTTTCTAGTTGTCAAGATCCATGCAAATCAATTTGTACTACAAATATTGTAGATAGTTGTTGTGAATTACTACAATAATTGTTGGTGCATATTACATTTTGTCAAATAAAAAATAGGGGATATTTGGAATAGACACTAACTACTCCATATGATGCTTATACCGTACACGTATTTAGTGTATATCACATGTTTTAGATTAAACACTCAAAAGATATTAAATAAATGCTCTGCCGTTAATTGACACTGAGTGTGAGTGTGAGTGCAGTGTGAGTGTGAGTGCACTGCATGTCAAGCCTTCGTCAAGCCTTGACAAAGGCTTGACGAAGTTGTAACACTAAAACACGAGTCTATAACAGTCGGGAAGTGTTATCGAGTGTGTTTAAAATACACACTGATGTTTGAATCTTCAAGCAAATTGCCAATAGAATCACATTTCAGGCAGATGGTATACCCAAAACAGATTGGTTTGTTTATTTATTTTGTTACACAGTGACGTTTCTAATTTCATGATCTAATTACTACTGCATGTTTCACCTGTACTGTGACTTTACATTGTTTATTCATTCACACACAAAAGTACTATCTTATTCATACTTTCAGCCTCTCACTTCCTTTTGACGCAGTGACATTGATGTGGCGTTAGATAAATGAACACACTCACATCCATATGAGACACTTTCCATTCAATTACAGAGCGTTAAAGGCATGGAAGCTCAGAATGGCTGTGTTTATTATTGGCTCATGATGGCGCCCAGACGTGATGGCACTTCTCTTAATGACATGAACATACAGGGAGCAGAAGACACTTATCACTGGGACGCATTGAGCCGAGCACTTTATTTCATAGAGGTCTCCGCCGCCATAGCTGTGATGTATGGCTGATCAAAAATCAGCACATTTCCCTTAGCCGTATTAGTATGCCTACTTTCCTTTTTGCATATTTTTCTTTGTAAGGATAGAGTTAGTGTTTGAATTTGCATCTTGGTGCTTTAAAGTGCATGTGTAAAGTTACTGTTCCCAATTAACTATTCCTTTTGTTTGCTCAAATAGAATTACTTTTAAATATTCATAATATAGCCAAACAGCTAAAAACTCTAAACAGTTATTCTTGAATCATTCTAGACATTTCAACAAGGGATGCAAAGATGCATCTGCTGAACATCAGTTTTGGCCAATGTTTACCTTGTTAACAATATCATCGGCAAAAAAAAAATATATTCATCAATGGTAGGCATGTACAGTATATAGTAGACGTATATATATATATATATATGTATATATGTATATATGGGGCGACAGTAGCTCAGTTGGTAGAGCATTGGCCTTAAGCCCAGAAGGTCGTGGGTTCAATTCCCACCTCTGCACCTTCTCCACCGACTCCCACTGATGACTGCTGTCGTTGTGTCCTTGGGCAAGACACTTAACCCCACTTTGCCCAAAGCCCCCACTGAAAGATCAAGGCTATGCTCACACTCAGAGAGCAGCCGTCCTCCTGTGGACTCACCACCTGCAGAGGATCAGTGAGGGGCTGGTGCTATGAGACTTGGGTGGCATCTCTGATTGTCACCCCCCTGACCCAGAAATGGATTAAAGGGTAGAAAATGGATGGATGGATGTATATATGTATATATATATATATTATATATATATATATATATATATATATATATATATATATATATTTTAGGGCTGTCAAAATTATCGCGTTAACGCACGTTAATTAAAATTTTTCATTAATCGCGTTAAACATTTTTAACGCATTTGACAAATGCGCCGAATGACCCGCCCATGCATCCCATAATAACACTCAAAATTCAGAGCATGCGTGTGTAAGATAGTGACAGAGCAGGCAGGCCCTCTGGGAATTCAAGTTTAAAAAGAGTTTAAAATATAACAAAACATATCACAACACTGCCGCAACATTGCTAGACTAAACTAAACATTGACTAAACTGAAATATGTCAAGCAATGTCAACATATAAAACACTAAGTTGCTCTCATAACTGTACAGATGACTGGGAGGAGGCCTACCACACACTGACGCAGGTGGTGAACGGATATTTGGTCGTGGAAGAACCGGGAACAGAGGAAACCACTCAACAGACAGGTCTGTAGTACTGCGGGGCCATTTCAACTTAACACACAGATACAGGTATACAGGTATATCTGAAGAAAACTGCATAAATCATATCAGGGTAGGCATAAGCATGCTCTGGATTAGCACAGATTATGCACCCCACCAACCATTCATGCACACACCAGACTTATTCTAGGCAATGTGGGTGAAGTGTGTTCACAACAACAGTTTGGCACTTTACAGCCGCATGTGCCCCAAGGTTGCACCTGGTGTTTTCAGAGGTCTCCCATCACAGTAACAGTACTCACCAGGCCCTGCTCTGCTTAACTTCTGGATTTCCAAGTCCTATTTTGACAGAAAAGAGCTGTGGCAACAATTACAGGAGGGGAAGCTTAAATTATCCTTCTTTTACAGAACTTTACTTGTCCAAATTTAAGAAGAAAACATCTGAAGAATTTGTTACAGCTTTTATATGCTATTGTTAATTGTCATTCATGTCCATCCATGTGTGTGTCTGTGTATGTGTGCGTATGTGTGTACATGTCTGTTTGTACTTGCGTGTGTATGTCTGTGTACTTGAGTCTGAAATAAAGATTCATAATAATAATATATGTGTGTGGGTGTGTGTGTGTTTACGTGCACAGATGTGGACCCGGAACAGCCTTCTGAAGAGATGGTGCAGGGGTCACATTCTGCTTCGCATCTGGCTCTGGACCCAAAGCTCCTCTCCTACCGGCACTACTACAGCCAGATCCAGTTCGCACTCAACCCCCGAAAGACCCCTGCCGTGAGTCACAACAATTGTATTTCGTATTCCATTGCTAGAGAGGACCTGTTTCCCCCACAACCTCTTCTTGCTTGTACCACCAAGGAATAGTCGCTTGTGCTGTAGCTTGCTGGAGTTGACGTGGTACCTGATTTTTTTTTACGCACTCAAAATAGTCCCTATGGTGCCAGTCCCCCAACATACAATGTACTAAAACATTTTTGTAAATATATTTTTTTATTTAGTATGCGTGAAACCACAGTGGCAAATCTCTTCTCTTTACCGTTTTCAGTACACTTTGTGCTTTAATTCTTTCTGTATTGCTTTATGCACTCTCCTCTCTGTGATTACAGGAGCTGAAGTCTTCAAAGAGACGAGAGCGGTTGGTGAGAGAGGCCATCACTGGGAGGAGTCCCGCCATCTACAGCAACCACTACAGAAGGTCCAATTAAGTCCACTCACAACTAAGTCCACTTAAGCCAAATCACGGATCGTAGTCCTGCCACTTGTGCTCGCTGTTTCAATGGTCCTCTTCAGGTCCTGTTCTTTGACCTTCTTGGTGAAGTGGCAGCTGCAAGAATTATGTCATTTTAACTGTTTGCAAATAATAAGGGTCCCTGGTGTGTGTAATCATGATTGTTACATGATTGATTTGTTCATGCTTCTTCAAGGTACTCTAATGATTTAGCTATTGCCTGGGCCCATGTGTGTTAGGTGGGGTACACTCAATGACAAAATGTTTGAGTCCACAAATATGCTACAAGACCAGGCTTAGAATGGGTACTATATTGTACTGCATCCCCTTTAACAACTAGATTAATACTACTATGATCATTTAGTCTTTCCAAGTTGTGAAAGTGAAACATTCTGTGTGTTGAAAGGATAAGGTTGAAAAGACAGATACACTTACCGGTAAGTTGTACTTGATTTGAAATCTATGACTTTCTGAATTTTACACATCCTTATTATTCAAATACATGCATATATTAAAGGCTGTTGCTGGATTTGTTGAAATGCTAACCCTCATCTGTTGTGGAGCAATAAGATGGAGGCTCCTGGGGGCTGCACTGGAGTGACCACTACTCCTGACAGGTTGCCATTGAGGATGGCTCAAATCTTGAGGATACATTTCCCTGAGGGGTCAATGAAGTACACTGTCAATCCTTAACTGCATTTATTGAACAGCACAATTGCAGTCTTTCTCTCTCTAATTACAAAACAAAAGCACCAAATACATGGACGCACATGTGGGTTTTTCTGGAGGGCTGTATGTTTGGAAGGGTGTGAAATTGCTTCTCTCTATGATTTACGCCTGTGGGCAGAATTATTGAATCTGACGCTGTTTTTTGTTTACCTCAGCTCTACGGAGACAGGCGCATCATCCCAGCAGACTCGCATGCACTTAAGTGGGGAAAACAGGTATACGTGGCCTCCCACTAACACTAAAACATATTATTTTAGTAAAAGAATAAAAGTTTCTCTGTGTATGTACTATAGCATGGACTGGGGCTTTACGACTTTGCAATGTTGTTAATGATTGGACAAACAAAGTACAGGGTTTTAACAAATATTTTACCTTAGTAACACGCAAAAACTCAGCAGCACTAATCATTGTTTAGGATGATAAGGTAATACCAACAGAACATGTCTTTATATTTGTCCTTGTTGTGTGTGGGCTCTTCCCACTCTGCGAACTGAACCCGACCATTCATAAATTACTCTGTTACTCCTCATTGTGTAGCGTTTAATTTTGTTTACATGCACAGCTTGGCTTCAAATACGGGTTTAATCAGTCATTTACAGCTACAGCAAGCTTGATCCATTCATTTTTTGCTTCCCTGTACAAATTAGCCACACTTCCTCTAATTTTTATTTTCCCAGGGGTTGACATTTAGTATACATTTGCGCTCCAGTCCAAATTAATGTGTGGTTTATTGCATTCATTAATCATTGCTTGAAGATAAATTTGTTTGAAAAAGTTTGCTATTTGCATTATATTTCCTATGAAGCATTACTCACTGCGCAAGAATTTCCTTGAAAAATTGCTGGCATCTTTCTACCTGTTGGCACAATACGTCTAAACCTGTGCATGTTTGAACAGTTCTTGTGATGTGTTGGTATTTCTTGGGCTTTCAATGTTTTCAGTTGTCTAGACAAGTGGATCTTTATCTATTTGCCCCAGTTGTAGTTACAAGAAATGACAGATGGTTGAGTTGTAATGTTGTGATCTGGGACATTTTATTAGTTTTTTTGTAAGCACACATTTTTGACCATTCCTGTGTCCAAATGGTTAATCACCCTGTCATCTGAAATCTGGAGGACATGCTATAGGAAGTTTCAAGCAAGACTTTGTCATAATCCTGTCACAGGGGTTAAAAACCGCATTATAAACATACAGGTTAAACTCAGATGTGTAGAATATTCTAAAAAACATTTATTTCCTTTCTAAAAAACATTTATTTCCTTTCTAAAAAACATTTATTTCTGTAATTCATCTTAAAGCCAGCCACCAGTCCTACTCTACTCTGCTCTACTTCGCTCTACTCTACCTGTTTGCATTTCCATTTCGCCTTGGTCTACCAGGTCTGGGACCCTACCCACAATAAACCAGAATCCATGGAAATTCTGTGGTAACCATGGCTCCCAGCACTACTAGTTAGAACAAATTAGTACCAGCTTGGCCTAGTTAGAACCAGGATCAAGCAGGTAATCAAAAAAGTACCTGGCACCGGTGAAAAGTAGGGAAACCGGGCTTAAAGAAGCTATACCCGATTTATTTTCTAATGAGTTCACAAACTGCGTATTACTACATACAAGTTGTGTTAAAATCTGTAATTTAATTAAAAACTTGAGCCCATTGATTGAAGTGATGAGTAGCAACTTAGCTGGACGCTAGCTCTCCTCCAATCACAGAACGAGGAGCGTTGCTGTTGCGAACAGGCTGTGCCTCCTCTAGCGTCTGCAGCGCAGGTAAACACAGCAAAATGGAGCTCAAAGTGGCTATAACTTCTCAGGCTGTAACCGCAGACACAGAAAAACAGCCCAAACAACGCAACAGTGAGGAAGAGAAGTGGGAACTCAAGCAAAAAAAGGATCAAAGAAGAAATCAAGCCCAGTTGAACTAACTGTACATAGCTAGCTGACATCATATCCTCGCTGAAGAGACCTGTGGGAGCGGGACTGCCCCAGACTACATTTGGACGCAAAACTAGCGATAATCTTTCAGTTATGTATATACTTTTTTACCAGTGCGTTAATTTTGTACCATTTCATCAGTGATTGTTGTACAGCTTACAAGAAGTTGTGCTAATGCTAATGTTTGCATATGTATCAGATCGCAAATAAAACTAGATGGCTCTGTGGGAGGAGAACCTAGGGGAAATTAGTAGCCTGTGAACAAGTTGGGGGGGTGGTGCTATACATTCAAACTGAAAAAAACCTTGCAGAATCGCCTAAAGCTCCTTTGATATGTGATATGGACTCTTGGCAAGAGTGACATATTTAAAACTTTTGTGTAACCCATTTTTAGTGATGGCTTTATACATGCCCCAAAACATGTATAAACATTGATTTGTGAGTCTTCATGTCTATATTTCTTCATTGTAAATAGCTGCTGTTAAAAGGTACATTGTTGTATACCCTCAGCTGGTAGACCTATCTTGGAGAAAAAAATGACTTTGGAGACAAACAATGGTTAAAAGCCTTACATTTCTTTTAACCTTTGCACTTTTGATTTGTAGATCATTTAAAGCAAAACAAACCATTTTATAATCATAAACAGTCGATAAAAAAAGCTGATCTGAGTGCGCTCCTTAACAGTCTGAAAACAGCGAGTCAAAATTAATCGAAACGACAGAAGCCAAAGGGCTAGCCAACCAGAACTCTGATAAGTGAACTAAAAGGTCCTGGACCTGGGGTTGCTTTGAATGTGGGGAAGACTGCCACATTTCTTCAGAGTCCAATCCCAACTTTCAACTTGCTCCTCATGGTTACAGAGAACACCCGTGGGTCACAGAGCTGGAATATTATGGCTTTCAACTTGAACAAAACCCAAATTGTGAAATGGGAATATAGTGTCACCTTGCCATAAGCTTGATCTTTAACATCTGCAGTGGGGGCGGAGACTTTAAAGGTTCTCTCAGTCTGGATCAGTGGAATTCACCATCGTGGAGAAGACTAATGACCTGACCGTTATGCAGAAAACTATCATTTACTTCTCACCACCATCTTAAGGAAGGAAAGAGCCTGCTTCCTTTTCCAGAAAGGCTTTACTGACAAGCTGACTTCATTTTCCAGTAGGGATTTGCACCTCCCATACTTCAAAATACTGTGTAGTGTAATTACTGTACTTGATTAACCAGAACACTCTCCTGACCTTAACCCTGTAGAGAATTTATGGAGCATCACCAAAAGAAAAATGAGAGAGATGAGCGGGATGTTTTTTTTTTTTTTTTTTACATTTGTTTATTGATTTAATCAGATTTTAGTTATAATATTTTAATATTATATTTAAGAGAAAGATTTTGCTTGATATAAAGCAATATCATGGAATATTTAATGTATTGTTTACCACGTGTCTGGCAAAATTGGTTGATATTATGTTAAACTGTGGGAAATCCTCATGTCCATTGCCTGGATGTCTGAGCTCTGGTTCATTGTCAGCGGTTGTTGTCTAATACGCATCCCCCCTACTCTCTCCTCTCTGTCGGTCAGATGTGTAGTTGTGTGTGTTAGCAGCGGAGTCTCTCTCTTTATCTCTTATGTTGTTGTTCCCCACAGCTCTGACGACTCTTGTGCCAGCTCAGTCCTGTCTGTGTCCAGTTCAGCCGCAGTCCTGTCTGCTCCAGAGCCACTTGACGGTTCTGCTCAGGGACCCGCCTTGCAAACAAGCAAAGGTACAAATGCTTTTGTCTGGCTATTCTTAGACACGACTGGAACAGAAAGCCGACATGGTTTGGACTTGTGGGAGTGTGTGATGTATCTATCAACTATTGCCACAGTTACAACACATATTCAGCTATATATACTGTAGCTATTACAATCGTTTAAGAGAATGTATTTTTACTTGTTATCCTTATTTGATCAGATGATCCGAGTTCAGATTCATTGTCAGTGGACAAGAAGAGAGAAGCCTTTTGTAAATTTTTGTTTGGGTCAGGTAAAACCTACACAGAAACAAATTTTCAAACTTTGCATAGAAAGTCTCCACTCCGCCTTCTCACCTTGCTGTGAGGTGAGAGCAGAGATGGGGACTCACAAGTCGAACTCAAGTCGAACATGTCCCTGTTTTTAGAGACTTGAAACTTAAAACTCAACTCGGACTCATGCCGTAAAGACTCAGACTTGACTCGGACTGGCCATTCTGAAGAAGTACTATGCACTAAGCTCTAAGCTACATGTGAAAAGAGAGAGACAAGGGGCAGTGATCCATCTTGACAAAAATACAGGACAGGTGCTCTTGATGGTATAGGAAGGCCTCTGAATTATTATTCTATGAGATTGCAAAACAGAGCAGTTGGCCGGTGCTCTTCAATTGTGACATTGGGGATTAATATTCCCATTCTATATTTGAAATGTTAGTGGTTTACCTTGAATCAGACAAAGTATTAAATGGATAATTAAAGATAAATGAGACAAGACTGTTTACCATTCCTGATACGGTAATACTTTAATGTTTATGAAACAATCTCAATCTTGCACGTAATGAAAATTTAAGAGTGCATGTGCTATTATATTTCTGGATATAACCTATTAAAACTGTTTTGTTTCACTGCCTCAGGTGACAGATTGTGAATCATTTAGTTGCACCAGGCTGTGAGCATAACTCAACACTACTTCTCAAAGAGACTATAATCATGATGCCATTTTTCACCTTTGCCAGAGCCGTCATCCAGCCCTGAAGCCACACACCCTGGTGAGAGACGCCCTGGCTCCAACATCAAGACCATCCTACCTCCCATCCCGCCCGGGCGCAGGACCCCCCTGACTCCTTCACCCGACCACAGGGACGCAGAGATTGATGACAGCAGGGAGGGGCAGCTTAGCACCTAAGACACAGTAAATCACACCAAGTAAATCTCTAAAATACACTTCAAAAAACACAAAGATATAATATAAGTTATGAAAAAATATATTTAAAACATGTAGTTTAAATGTTTTACTTTGGAACACATAAATATTTGGTAGTCTTGAGCTGCCTTTTAGAGCTTAACAGGTCAGATTTGTGCAAGCTAAAGTAGTATCAAAAACAAGTACCTTTACTAAACAATGAATAGTACAGTACTTACCAATAGTAGAACTTGCTTCTCCTGATTGTTTAGTAAGTGAACTTTGATAAGAAATATGAAATAGTAATTATCCTAGTCTATATATCAAGTCAACAAGCTATTTTCCTCTGCTATAATTTTGGCTGTTGTGAATTGTACATGTGTAGAAAGTACTACGTGATAGAAAAAAGTGTATTTATAATATTTATGCCATTTATAAAAATACGTGTGCAGCAGTGATATGCCTGACAGCTCAGTGGTATTGCATTACCCTCCCGTCGGTGATCTCATCAGACTGGATCAGACGTTGACATCTGCAAAATAAATGTGTACGGACATCTCACGGCTCATGTCATCAGGAGAAAAATGCGTCATTAATCTTTATCACTCATATTAGGAGCAGTTACAGCAGTGATGTGTTCGTGTGGCTTAAATAAAACATAGCCTCATATAAACGCCACGGTGCTGTATCATTGTGAATGAGACGTAGACAAGATTAGAATCATTTTTTCATTATTCTCCATGGGCTGTTGTGATTAAGCGGGGTGACAATGATTGGAGTATTCTTGATAATCTATAAGAAAGGCTATACTTTCCATGCCACTCGTCTGCTTTATCCCTGAAATCTGTACGCATGCTGTCGAGTTTGCTGACAGAATCTCTGCACTCAATCCATTCATAAAACTTTGCAATCATTTTGTTCTTTAGAAATGGTATAAAAAGTGTATTACCGAGAGAATTAATGAGGTGGGTACTGTCTGGGGCTGTTAGTCTGAGGCTTCATCCAAGTTCAGAAGAAAGAAGTAAATTTTTCTTTAAAATAAGGCTGCAAAATTCATTGCAATCCAACCAAGATTGTAATTTTTGTGGTCACAGTTAGCAAATGATGCAATTATTTATTTCCTAAAAATACTGCAACAAATGTCCAGAATTTTGTGTTTTAAGTTCCTTTATTTTGCTGGCACAATGGAAAATCTTGAATCTTCTTTTGGATATGTTTGATATATAGACTGCCTTAGTCATTGTATATTAAAAAGTAGTGTTAGCCTTAATCAAGCACAGTGTTTTTGTTATTATAAACACATTTTATAATTTCTTGCAGTTTTTATAGCTGGAAAACTGCTGCACTGTTATTTAGACCTCTGCAAGCATTTTTGTGTGTGTAAATCTTGTATCAGCTAATCGATTTTGTTATTTAGAATGTAACACTTAACTAGTTTGATATATGCAAAAATACATTTGAATTACTCTGAAAAAAAATCTGTATAACAATAGTATAATAATTAAAGTTAAGAAAGTAAACATACGTATATATATTTGTATATGCATTTATAATGTAATAAAAACATGCACAGATATTACTTTTCCACAATTGTACAACCTTTGAGTGAAGGTACTTCCATGTTTGGTCAAGAGAAAGTTCAGACCTAAAGATATTTGGAATGCCGGTAAACTTGAATACCCCCAAAGACATGGTTGAATAAAGTCAGGGGTATTAGTTTTGGTCCATTTTTAGCTTCAAGTTTTGACACAGTTTAGCCATTTGTGATGTATGTGCATGAGAGAACATGGCTTGTGGTCGATACTGCCCCGGCAGCATATACACGACTTGTTTTAGCTTCATCATTGAGTGTACAGTGTATGATTCTCTCCTGCACCTGGCCATCCATCACTGTCACTCTGGCTCTGAGGCAGCAGATGTTGTAGCCCTGTCATAATTCTTTGGCACTTCCAAAGCAGACAGTGACTTTGGGGCCCCTGGGGTCTAACCTACTTATACCGCTGTTACTTCGACGCCCAGAAGAATAGAAGCAGAAAAGTTTATGGGAAAGTGTCATTCTTTATCAAACAAAGGAGGCTCAGTTATTGTGTGAGGCAACCATACTGGCATTTAAAATAGTCTGTAGAGGTCGTTTGAAGGTGAGAAAAGATATACGGTAATCTGTAATTAAATGACAAAAACTGGTTTTGAATCTAAAATACATTTAAGTCCATTATAAAATAAGCTATTTGTGAAATAAATAATCTTAGTTTGGCATATTCAAAACTAAGAGCTAGCACGAGCATCTGTAATTTAAGGAACCCACACCTAAATATTGGGATTGGGACAAGCCCTTAATTTTTTCTTGAAACATATGATTATCGACAGACCGCCTTATTTCTATGTTTTTTTCTAAGAAAATATTCATTTATAAGTAGGATTATTTATAGGATAAAGAAAGTGTCATGAAGCAATCAGTGAGAGGACCATTTGATCTTTGAAATGTTTACTCCAACTACAGATCTGTAGAAGTCACTAGAATTGTAACAAATCTTGTATGCAACAAATAAACATTTTACCGCCACATTTTAAAAATTTGTAACCAATGATGTGACTAAATAATGTAACTGTCCAGGCTAAGGTCTGAATAAATGTACAGTGTATATAAAACAGCAAAATATTTGTACAATTATCTTAATAATGGGAAAAGGCCCATTTCCTTGCAGAATCTAGTTACTCTGTCTATAAAAGCATATCTGCATCACTATTAGCTAACTATAATTCTAAAAAGCATCTTGTATATTCCTTTGTCCTGTGGCAACCGACATGAGCAGGTGGAGTTGGGCTATAACAGTTTTGTGAGATTCCTGCATAATTTCCAAAGCATTATTCCCACCGTGCCCTAGTTTAACAGGGACATTGAAATATCTTGTTAAAAACACAGGGAGAGGAGGATTACAGGGCTCTGAATGAACTTGGAAGCGTCAGTGAAACCACAGATATTATGTTACAAGGAGAGCTGGTAGACTATAACCTCTGCACATTTGCGGGTGAGCATTGGAAGAGGGTATTTTCAGCCCAGTTTATTGACTTTGTGACGACATGAATGCGATTCAAGACTGGTAAATGTTAGACTTACAACAGTACGACTTGTCTTCACTTGAACATGTAACATTAAATATGATTATTTTTCTATTGAGTTAATAAAAATCCGTATAACTACATACAAGTTGTATTAAAAACTGTAATTTAATTGAAAACTGGAGCTCATTGATTCAGCATGAGCATGAGTTTAGGCCATTCAAGTGCTGTGATGACTTTTAGCGGGCCGCTGGCTCTCTTCCATTCACAAGAGGCTGCGTCCTTTAGCCTCTACAGCGCTGCTAAACACAGTAGCATGTTAGCAGAATTGGCTATAACTCCTCTTGCTGTAACTGCAGACACAGCAAAACAGCCCAAACGACACAACAGTGAGGAAGAAGAGGGAACTGAAGCAAAAATATGATCAAAGATGAAATCAAGCCCGGGTGAACATAGCTAGCTTACATCGTATCCTCTGGAGGGACTTACAGTTTATGGGAGAGACCTGCAGCACTGTTTGGACCATCTGAGCTCGGACTACATTCGGACGCGGAACTATAGCGGTAATCTTTCAGTTACATTTTTTGTTAGCAGTGCATTGCTTTTGTACCATTTCATCAGTGATTGTTGTACAGCTTAAGTTGCGCTAATGCAAATGTTAGCAAATGTATCAGATCGCGAATAAGACTAGATGGCTCCTTTAAAACTTCTGGACGTGACTTGATATTTAGCTATTGTTATTTGATGGTTTCATATTATTATTATTTTTTGACCCTGAAGACATGCACAAATGTTGGCACATAGGGAGTGTAATGCGTCCGGTTCGGCAAAAATGTAATACAATTTACGTTTCAAGTTTGTCCAACGTACGCCAACTCTATACCGCCCCTAGAAAATTCAAATTTGCAAAGCCTATGGGAGACAGACATGTAAATACCAGGAATAACATATTGTCAAAAGCTGTGAGAAGTGATTGTTTGCATTTTACATACCCTTTAACAGTTTAAACAGATGTGCCAATAGGGCATAATAAATTAAGCTTGTTCCATTAGAAAATCATGTTTTAAGAATGAAGATTATTGACTATTAGTCAAATCGATGGAAATTTAGGCCGTGCAGAAACTACATAGTAATTGCTTTGGTCGGATTGACTGATCCAATATACAGTACAAACTTTTAACTGTATGTGCTGTATTATATATAGTTCCATAAGTGACAGTCCTCCCGTCGCTTGGTAAACATTTTGAACAGACGCATGGTGACGGGGTGGTGCAGTGCAGTTTCCATGGTTACCACACTAGAGCCACTGCAGAGTGAATGCAGAGGGGCGCCAGGTTCATTATATTACTCTGTGACCCATCCCAAGATCCAAGAGCCAGGAACATATCGTCACAGGAGGAGAGATAACCCAATAAACTAGAGAAAGAGAAAACAAGGATTTTACCTTTTTGACTTTTAACCGTGGTACAGCATTATTCCCTTATCAAAAAGAGACCTGGAGCTGTTTTCAGATTCAGCCACGCTAATATCAGAAACTATTGTCCATAAATTAATTTTGACAATTCTGCAGGTGAAAAGACATACTTGTTTCACCATTTATTTTTATAATTGGCCAAAATAATGTGTAATATTTCTTTAGAGGGTATGCTTTATTGTCCCTGTAGATGCTTTTAATGGTAGCGGAAACTGGACACGCCCATAAAGGCCCTGTCAGGAGGTGGAATCAAACCCAGGAACTTCTCACTGCATAATAGAAGTATTGTTTAAATTGTTATTATGATTTTCAATGTTGGGGGCGACAGTAGCTCAGTTGGCTCTACCAACATTGGCCTTTGGGCCTGAAGGTCGTGGGTTCGAGCCCACCACGGGACCTACTTCTAACTGCTCCCACTAATTTCTGCTGTTGTTGTGTCCTTAACCCCACGTTGCCTGAAGCTCCCACT